CCCATTTCTGATTTTAAAGGTTTGTTTATTGGTTTTCAGTCAACCTCTACAGCAGATACAGGTTTTCTGACAGCCCCCAAAAAACATCCCATCATACCGATAGGTACAGTTTCGTTTTGAACAATCAGCTGCCATGTTTGACTAACAGCAGGATATGATGTCACCCTGCTGCCAACGATACTCCTTTCATTGCTCGTGTATTTCTGGATGACAGTTTTGCTTCTGGCTTTCCTGTCAAAACTTTTACATTCACATCTGAGTCATGTTACACTGACAGGGCCGGTTTGAGGGTTTCCTATAGAGTGACTGAGCAGAAAAGCGCGGAGGACGATGAACGTTTGAACGCTTCCTCCCAAAGTCATGTTTAACCAAACACTACAGCTGGAGCGTACTGTGGCTATTGAGGTCAGTGGATTGGGCCTGAGTAAACACTGCAGTGACCTGAAGGTTTAATGAGTAACCATCAGGCAAATATGCAGCCTGTTTATCACACAACAGAGGCGTACCGAGGATGTCAGGTGCCGAGCTATTCTGGGAACAACAGGATGAAGACGACTTGCCGGGGTGTGGTCTGTTCGTCACATATTGTCCTTCAGTCGCTGTAATTTAGGCGGGACGCGTCATAGAACGGGGAGTGGGGACTGGGCGGGTGGTTGCATGACAGTTTCTATCTTTTATACATTAAACTAAATATTTGTCCGATCTCAAGCTGCATGATAACCAGACCATTAGACATTAGAGTCTCAGAGTTCGATAACCTTGATTGAAAGCAGCAATAAAGTGCAAGCGCTGTAAAAACGTTCAGTTTTATAACATTGTTTGATTCTGTTGCATTAAATATTAACTGGAAAATAAAACGCTTTAGTTTCTATTGCTTGTTTCTTAATTTTTATAGGTTACTGATCTTAGCTGGTCAGTTGTTTGGGTATCTGTACAGCTAGCCTGCATACAGCTAGAGTTTTAAGGGTTGTTTTCAGTATTTGCAGTTTTTCAGATATAAATACTCATCCTGCTCTCTTGGCTATAGCGCCATGTTTCATGTCATCACCTCATTTGGTGAAAGTTAACAGGATTTTAAAACTCTAGCTCTTGTGACGCTTGTAATTCCAGCCTGTAGTTTGGCCAAAAAGTGTAGATTCAGCCTTTCAGAGCAACAGCCATGAGAAGTTGCCTGTCTGAGGTAAAAAGGTAGAAACCTTGTGATGATAGCCTCTGCAGGAATCCATCACCAAACGTTTAATTATAAACAAGCAGGTGAAAAATCTAGATCTTTGCAGAGCAGGAGGAAGAAAATGTGTGAGGAAGCTACAGCAGGGAATCAGATGGGTTTTTTTGTGGATGAGAGTTTTCTGACTCTGACAGATATCCATATTCATCTGGTCGATGTGGGTTTTCTCTTCCGCTTGTTCAGACTTACTTATCAAAATTAATAAAAATAGCTTATGGCTGATTTTTTTTTTTTTTGACCTTTTCAGTCAAAATAAAGAAAAATCTCTGCTCCTAACAGACAAGGTAACAACATTTATTTAAGCGCGAGGAATGGTACGTCTTTTGCTTAAACACCATGACTCTTCGCATTTGACCGGTGCAGCCCCTCTACCTCTGTGTTAAATGCTTAATTAGAGCGAGAACACAAAGGCCGTCCGGTCCAGCATCACTTTCATAGCAGAAAATTCACTTGCTGCTCATAAAGAGTACATGAAGCGATGTAGGGAGAGATGGCTGGTTTGCACCAGGAGTGATTAACAGATGCAATCCAGCAGGAGGGGGCTTGGGGTATGACCCAGTCTGGAGCCAATCTGTGTTTTCTGCCTTACTGATTAAGTGTGCTCAGTATTTCT